ACAACCAGAGAAGCATCATCCTTGTTTGAAAGGGCATGTCTTTCTCTCTCTCTCTCTCCTAAAATCTCAGAGTGTCCTCTGAGCATGTGCCAAGTATTTTTCTCGCCCCCTGCCGAGACACTCACCTGGCTGTGCAGGGTTTTGGGCCCTAACTTTTAAAAAATGAGACTAAAAACAAACAAACACCCAAAGATAAGATGCTCGCTTTTACTCAGCTAGTCCTATCTGGCTGGGAATCTGACTCAGCTTCTCCATCTGTGCAATGGGCTTTCTACCAAGTACTTGGAGCAATGAAGACATTAGTAGCCTGGCTCAATTGGTATAATTACTTTTAATATTGCACACTGCACCCCAGGCCGGTTTCTAGAACTTTGTACTGGCCTGTAACTCGGTCTTCAGTACCCCGGTTCTCGCCAGCGTGTCTGTCTTAATCCTTCTGGTGCAAAAATCCAGCTTGGATCGATCGCTTTTGAGATCCCTAGGTAACCTTTGCAAAATCCGGAGGAGGGCTCTGCAGTTGGAAGAGGCAACCTAGCTGGGTTTGCACAAGGCGCCGGACTTGGCAACTGAATCAACCCGATTTTCTGGGTTTCTCAAGAGACGGAACGATCGACTAATCCAAGCGGCGAGATTCACGCCACCGGCAGCCGTTCCCACTGACCGATGGAAAAGAGGCAACTACCAACCTCGTTTAGGGTCGCCTGCGAAAACAGCTGCTGGTTTGGGGCTGCAGGAACTAACTTGAGATTCTAGACTTCCTGCTCTTATTTGGTCCCACCCCATGGCTCTGCCACCCTGAGCACTCAGTCTTCCCAACACCCCTGCAAGGAAGACCCAGCCAGAACCTTAAGCTGAGCGAGCTTTCTTAAGTTACTTTAACTCAGTGTTTCTCAGCCATGGCCACTTGAAGATGGGTGGACTTCAACTCCCAGAATTCCCCAGCCAGCTGGGGAATTCTGGGAGTTGAAGTCCATCCATCTTCAAGTGGCCAAGGCTGAGAAACACTGCGATGTGTCCATCAGCTAACGTTGATGTGTTTCAGATCCCAGGCTCCCTGCAATTCAGGAAAGCTACTTAAGCCGGATCTGGACCAGCTGCAAAGTCAAGGCCAGGCCTACTGCTCTCAGGCCGACAGGCAGATATCCACCAGGAGAAGATTCTTTTTGGGAAGAGCAGAACCCACTTTGATTTTTTTTGAAGGACGCCCCAAAACATGTTTGGAAACCCCTCCTTGGCTCCTGTCCTCCTTATTCTTTGGCTCTTTCCGGCTGCAAGGCCTTTCCTTAACTGGACAAGAGTTGGGTCAGGACTTAGTTCCTCGTACACCCACTTAACCTTCCAGCCACGAGAGCAAGAAGACAGTTTCCGGGACATTTGTTTTATCTCCCTTTCTTTTGCAAAACTCAGCGCCAGAGTTCAAAAGGCAAAGCTGCAGAGGAGGAAAAAAAAGCAGGCAGACGTTCAACAGGAGAAGCTGGCCCAGGGGGTGGGAAAAACCCACCCGTAGATCTCTTCGTTCAACCTAGCAGCTGCCATTTTTCCAAGTCAAGGTTGGTTAGGGTAAACCTGAGTTAGTCAGTGCTGGCTCGTGGCGTTGGGAGTTAGTTAGGTTAGTTTCTAGCATTGTGCAAACCCCATGAGCTGTGCCCTTCTCACGGATTCAACCGGGGCTTGGTTGGGGGAAGCCAAAGACGGGCACGCACCGCCGGAGGCTGGCAGGGCGGGTGCCAGTGGTGGGAAAAGAGTGGGACAATCTCTGGCCGCCGAACGACTGGTCTCGGAGTCTGGGAAGCGTTTACAACGCTTTCCCTTTTGGTTCCATGCCCAACACGGGCTCAGGCTGAGCTGGCATAGCTGGGGGTGTTGCCCTGATACGTGCCGCGCCCGAATCTTCGGTCAGAGTGCCCTAGCTTCACCACGCCCGGCAGTTTTCCACCCAGCCTGCCCACCCCTTGCTCAGCCGGTTCAGCCTGCTTAGCAGAAAGGGGAGGGGCAGCCCCATTGGAGCCCGTTCCTGCCCCC